ATGGTGATTCTTACGTTCATTAAAGTTTGAAAATTACTGAGCTAGAAGAAAGAGAGTTAGCAAAAAAGGTTGGGCTAGGGTTGGGGAAGGAGATAAGAGGCTAGCTAGAGGAAAATTCTTTCATGGGGAAAGAATTGAAAAGAAATCAGAATGACTTTTTCCAAGCAGAAGAGCACTTAAAGTTTTTGGATAATTTGATAATTGGGAAACCAGAATTTAATGCCTCCGTATATTGCCTAACCCTATTTCTATAGCCAGAAATCTTGAGGTCTCTGGTTGGAACCAATGTAGAAAGTCTGGTTAAGTTAATTTTTATCTCATGGCCTTGGTGGTGTGGTGATAGACCAGCATTTCATCTTGCTTTCCTTCTAAGATCCTGGCCATTGATTTAATTAAAACCTAAATTTGGATGACACGGTTTCTCATAAAATAATGCTAATAGATATAAAATGCATCCTTCTTGGTGTTAATTTCTCAAGATTGGATCTTTCCACACACTAGATGATAAGGTTGTGTTGGCAGAGTATCCGGCCTTGGGTACTGGGGAAAAGCTTGAGGTGGAGAGAAAAGTCTTTTCTCTCCTCGTTTGGAAATCAAACAGCAGCAACAAAAATGTTGGAAACTTTTAAAAAGTTTAGTACGATAAAGTGTCAAGCAGAACTGCATAGATTCAGAAATATTTACATTGGAGAACCAGAAAGTAGTGGCAACAGAAACTCTTCTGCCTCCTCCCACCTTTTCTGTCAGCTGCTCAGTCATTTCCAAATGGTTTGAAGTTTCTGTACAAGAATCTCGCTAATGACTGTAATTCATCACAGGAGGTGTTTAGTTTTGAAAATGAAATATGACTATATATTTTGGAGATTGATAGCGAGGGTTTGTTTATTGAGTATACTCCTAGAGAAAAAAATAAAAGAAATATAACAGAGAAAAATGCATTTTTGAAGGTCCATCATAATAGCTAAAATAACTTGACCTGTAAAACTTCTGAGAAACATTCTACCTGTAACTTTACATAAAAGATAAAAAATACTGATGTTGAGTTTTGGGGTTTTTTTTGTTGTATGCGGGCCTCTCGCTGTTGTGGCCTCTCCCGTTGCGGAGCACAGGCTCCGGACGCGCAGGCTCAGCGGCCATGGCTCACGGGCCCAGCCGCTCCACGGCATGTGGGATCTTCCCGGACCGGGGCACGAACCCATGTCCCCTGCATCGGCAGGCGGACTTTCAACCACTGCGCCACCAGGGAAGCCCTGATGTTGAGTTTTTAAAACGCTTTTGAGAAGACCTTAAGATGTATATGCCAAAAGTAAGTAACGATGATTAAGTCAATATCATGGACACAAATTAGTGTTCTGACCACGAAGTCCCATATATTTGCTATCACCGGGCATTAGTTTTGCCTCGGAGTTTCCTAGTGTCTGTGGCAAAAAGAGAAATATGGGAAGACTCAAATTCCTTAATGAAGAACTGGTTTTAAGGAAAAAGGTATAGTCTTGGATTTTATGTAGGAGGTACAAGGTCATGTAATGAATACTGCTCTCTGTAGTCATTTTTAAATAAATATAGAGGTGATTGGCATGTGATTTTTTTAAAATAAGGAGATTAGGTGAATTCAAGGTCAAAGCATTTGAGGGTACAATTCAGGGAAGGTTGTTATGTGAGAAATTAAGCCAATGAACTTCACATATGTAGGCTTCTTGTGAATCTTATGTGTTACTTTAGAACTGAGAATAAGTGTATCCCTTAAACTTTCACCTCCCTAGAAAACTTTAGTTAGAAGTTCATGTAGTATCAGTCTAAAATCACTGTAATGTCTTATATGCTAATATTATATGTTATTGGCTTAATATGGCTCCATATACTTTGAAGACCAGAAGAATGCTAACTAGGTAGAGTTGTCATTATGTTAATAGGATGAAAAGCTGAAGCAGTATTCTCACCCAGAAGGAAATCATTCCTGAAAAAGAGTAAACTAAAGGGACAGCACAAATTTTCCTCAGGAAAGCATCTTTAGATTTTCTATAGCACTTTAAAAAATGCTTTAACCATGGAGAATGACAGAGAAAACTTTGACCAGAATAATTTTCCAAGTAGTGCCTCCTCCTTCGCAATAGAAATATCGAGGGTTTATTTTCACATAAATGACACTAAGCATTAATCTAACGATTAGTTCATTCACTTGGGACAGTGAGATGAAAAAACAAACATGGATAGATTTGGGACTTTCAGAGAAATCTGAATCATAGGTTAAACTAATCCAATCCAACTCTTATTTCTCTTTTTAGTCCCTTAAGAATCCCACATCCTCCAAATAAGAGTAGGTTCCCCCACAGATGACTTTTTTCTCCCATATACATTGAAAATCATCCACTCTTAGAAATTTAAAGAATTGTCAGCAGAATTTTTAACTTTTAATTAACTGTAACTTTATTTTTTTGAAACTAACTGAAATATTTTGTCCTGATGATTGGAATGTTCACATTTAACTTGCCAAACAAAAGTTTAAAAATATACTGTTAGAAATGCCGCAGGCTTTGTAAAGTGGCTTTCCACTGGCTGAATGTTACAGCAGGACCAGACGTTTATTAATTCTCTCTGCCACAGAGCTAATAGAACTGTTCTTTTAATTCAACAAACAGAAGCCTGTGTTCTTTGGATGGTTATTTTATTTCCCATGGAGTCTGCATGCTGTTGGCTAACAATCACAATGGCTATGTATCTATTTGAAGCAATCTTTTAATTCGTTTTGCAATAGTTCTGAAAATATAACTTCAAAAATTCTTAGCAAAGTTTCTGGAAATGATTTATATTCCCCCCCGAGACACATCTTTTAGTGTAGAACTGCTAAAATCATAAGATAAAGGCTAATTTGATCAATAACTAGAGTCTCACGTAGTCCAAGTATTCTTCCAGTTACATTTAGGGTCCCCTTTTGAACCAAACATTGTCTTCTTTAACATATTATAATTTTTAAAAATAGAAAATCATTAACTAGTCCCTTGTACCCCCATCTCCCCAAACACAGTCCATGGTTACTGCCTTATTCAGGACGATGAGTAGTTAATAGCAAACTGCTGTGATAGGATGGGGGTAGGGGGTGGTCAACTACCCAGACTCTGGGGCACAGCCCTCTCAGAGGTTCGAGTGTCCTCTCTGCACTTTCAGCCATGTGATCTGGGGTGAATTACTTCATCTCTCCATGCTTTATTTTCCTTATCTATAAAGTGAGCATAAAGGTAATTGTTACTACTCCACAGGAGTGATGTAAGAATTAGATTAATTTAGTTCATGGAAAAGCACCAGAGCAGTGTCTTACCAACAGTCGATGCATCCCGTGAGTTGAGGTTATTCTCCTTGCCCTTGAGCAGCTCCCTTCTTAATACATTTCCATCCAGCTGCTTACATTTGCGTGGATGCATCTGTTTCTGTTAGGAATCCAGTGTTACTTTAAAGGAGCATTTAAATGTAAGTGTCCTGAAGTTCTTCAAATCCTAACTTCCTCTGTTTGCTTTTTATCATTTTTTTTGTTTCTGCTTTTAAACTTTTAGCTTTCATTTATTGCTTCCTGTGTCAGTTGCTCAGCCTGCAACTTTCTGATTTTAATCTGCTGCACACCAAGAAATCAGATTATCAACCCAATGGGAATTTGAAATAAATTAGGAGTAATTTGACTCAGAGGAAGCACCTGGCGTGCTCTCCCTGTGTGTAAAGCAAATTCTCTTGACCGCATGGATTTTGTACTTGGTAGGATCTGTTTTGCTTTCCAGGGAATTGCTTTGCTTTTAAAAGTGAAGGTGTTAGATAAGTTGCCTTGGAAAAAGTGAGGTGTTACACTGTTGGACTGAATTTCCTTTTGGAGTGAATGAGACAACTTACAAATTCATGAATTTAAATATTACCCGGACTGCGTTTCAAATGTTCTGGCTATAGACTCACAACCTATTCCTCTGCTTTAGGCAAATGGAATTGATAGCAAGCGTCACTGCAGTGATTCTCAGATTTTTCGTCCAGAACCAGCTCCAATAAAGTTTATAGAAATGCAGATTCTCTGCCCCACCCTAGACCTATTGACTCAGAACCTCTGGGGTGGGCCCAGCAATCCTTCCTGCAACAATCCCTCCAGGTTATTCTGATGCAGGCTGAATTGTGAGACTCCCGGGACCAAGGCTAGTGGAAGGCAAACCTGATTACATATTAGATTCACCTGGGGTGCTTGCAGCCCCAGAAATTAAATTATTTTAAGGTAAAAACAAAAACAGAAACAAAAACAAAACACCTGAAGAGAGTTCAAGGTTAAACAGGGTTGAGACCTATTTCTCTAGACTGTGCTTTCAAGCAAAAAGTAAAGTAAGTCACTTAAAAGCTGTAATTTTAGCGGGCCTCCATGATTCAGAGTCGCTCCCTTTTCGCATCTGTGGCACCTGAACTCCTTCACCCTAATCCTTTACTGCTTACTTCAGCCTGGAAGGCCTCTGTGAAATGCAAATGTTATCTGTGAGAGATGACATCTGGAATTAATATGGATGGATACATTTTCTCCTACTAACAGTAGCCCTTCTTCTGTAGCAGTGCTTCTCAAACATCAGCCCACTTCATAATACCTGGAGGACTAGTTAAACCAAAGGTTGCTATGCCCCGCCTCCAGAGTTTCTAATTCTGAAGGCCTGCGGAGAGGCTCAGTAATTTGCATTTCTAACAAGTTCCAGGTGAGCTGGTGTTGCCTGTTCCTGGGACTATAAAAACCAGCGCTTTGAGGAAAGAAGGGTCCTGAGGAGTGGGGTTCCGAGCTGGTGAGGTTTTGCTGGATGGGGGAAGGAAAAGGCCGTGCTGCTCTTCCGCAAGTGGGAGACCTGAGTAAGTGGGGGACACCCACCCCCCAGGGGGTAGAGAAGTAGAAGGGCTAGTGAATCTAAAATCAAGTGATTATTATTAGAATAGTTTAACTGAGAAGATTAATTTCTGGTTTCCAAATTTTTATCTCTTGTTTTCCAAAACTTAAGGTGCAGCAAAATGGTGGTAGAAGCTTGTTGAAAATTCAGACACTTAGGGCTCATCTTTGCGACCTCTATTCACGAAATCTCGGATGAAGCCCAGAAATAAGCGACCCGGGTAAGTTTGTTGCAAATGGTCTTTTACTCATTTATTCGTTTGGAACTCTTTATTCAGGGGAACTGAGGGCCTGTATTGCTATTATTATCATGTTACTGAACATTTCTGGAGATTTAGTCATAAAATAGAAATATTTTTCTGAGAGTAGTTCAAGTATACTTGTGCTTTGCTTTCAGAATGGCCTCTTCCGCTTCTAACTCCTGGGGTCTTTATTTGAAAATGGTTCCGTTTACTACTTAAAAATAATCTGAAGAGCAAATTCCTATATATTGGACATTTTTACATGGTATAACTGTCAGGTCCATCTAAATTCAGGAGACGTGAGAGATCCTTCTATAGGTCCACTATTCGCAGTTGTAGAAATCAGTTCAAATAACAAGGAGCACGTGGGGAAAGTGCACCGAGCTTCATCCTAACAAATTCCAGTGACTCATCAGATTTCCATATCATAGCTACCATATTCCTGCCATACTGATGGAAATCTCTACAGATAGGGTTGTTGTCACAGTTGTGATTTGCAAACATACAGCACTTATAAAAATAAAAATATCAGCGGTTGTTGCTAGGTTTTTATTTTCTTGTTCCTTTTGTAATCCCCAGTTTAGGACCCAGTGTAATACAGGATAGTAGCATGCTTATAATGAACCTCGAATCTTCCTGTACAGGAAAAAAGGTTGCTTTCCACCCTCCGTAGTAGGTGCAGTTTTCCTGAGGGTTATGAACAGGAAATGATTCCTCAAGAAATGTAGCTGGCATATTTAAATCTTTAAGCAAATTATAAAAGTCATTGTAAAATCCGTTCACTGAGAAGGAAGGAGGAGCACAGTTCAAGAACCTTTAACTCTTTAAAAAACAAGTTTAGTGGAGAAATCATTGTAGCAAAATACTGCCGGAGGAAGCTCTTCTATCTAGAAATCTAATGACATCTGTCAAGAAACCATGAAAAGTATCAGCTGAGGACATTTAGAAAGAATATGAAGGAATATTTGATATTTTAAGGATATGTATACCTGTTGTTAAACATGGACTTTTAGCCTGTATAAAATACTATGTTTCACTAAGAATTAATGCTTACAGAATGACCCATCTTGTTGGGTGACGTGTTCTGGATATTTTCCTTTAAAAACGTTTCCTCATTCACTTATTTTAATAAGTCTGTATTTGTGTTGAAAGTTGTACAGCTGAAATGGGCACGTGGGTGGTTGCCTCAAAGCGACACTGTGTTGAGGTCACTGCCGTAAACCACACATCAGTTTGAAGGGGGCTGGCTCACATATTTGGCACTGGGAATTTATTTTCCCCCTGTGAGGAAATAGTTACGTTTATTCAGACATTCAACCTTGTCTTGATCATTGGTTCCTGTATTCAGCAGAGAGAAAGCATGGGAACAGAAGTAGCTGCCTATCAGAGAAAGTTGCCAAGTTCCAGGGTCCCTAGGGAAATGTCTTGAGTAGAACACTCCATAATATTTCCTGATTTCGATGCTGTCAAGTAGTTAGTATTCTGCTCAGGCTGATAGGCAGTTCCTGTATTCACGCTGTAATAGGTGTTATGCTATAGAAGGCACAGAAATTGCTTCAAGCAGTATGTTTTCCTTTCTGGCATTTAGGAGGAACTAAACGTGGGGAGATGTGAATGTCCCTCTGGATTTGCTTGTTTTCTCTAGGAGAGGGTTATTTAAGATCATGGAGTTACTTTTGTGAATGGTACCTTATAAAATAAAAGAATATTACTCCCTCTTGTTCTGTTACTGTTACTCTCTTTCAGCAATAATATACTTCTGATCTTGGTGTAAATGTCATATTGTGTGAATATGCAAACATCACACCCGCCTACATATGTTCTGTTGCTTAGTAATTCTTGGCACTGGAGCACCGTGAATTTTGTGCCTAATAAATGAGATACCCATCAGAATGAAAAATGAACTATGTTGGTCTCTTGAGTAAGATATCATTATTTCAGATTTTAGTTATGAAAAAGTAGGCTGCATTCTTGTCTGTGGTAGTATAGAAATTTGGAGGAGAATTGAATTTAGGAATAACTTTTGTTTACTTGTTCATCAAATAAAGTTTATACCATCTAGTACTTTTCCCTAGACATGGGCCAGTATTTCAAAGCATTTATTTAAAGATAGACAGATTCTGGTTATATAAAGTTTTGTTTGAAAAAAATTTTACTTAAGAATCTGTAAAAATCTCCTTTTATAGTAAAACAAAATACTGTACGCAAGAGTGACTCCTGGAATTATGCCTTGAAGATCAAGTGAATGGTCTTCATCTTCGTATAATTATTACAGTCTCCCTTTTCAACCCTGAGCCCATATCCCTTTTTGTAATGTCCATTCACAGATCTGAGTTTTGAGGTTTTTGATAGGGATCCCTTTCAGCTTCAAATCAATGAATTAAAAGATATATCTCTATTAACACAATTTAATCTATCTCTGAATTTGAGAGACACTGTATCTCTCTGCCCCAAATAATTAAAATGGTTTTCTCCAGTGGGGGGCTTTGAATCTACCAAACAAGGTACCAGATGTCAAACTCTATTCATATGCCATTCCTTCACTCCTAGATGTTCTTTTTTTTTTTTTTTTTTTTTCTGTTCGCCGGCCTTTCACTTTTTTGGCCTCTCTCGTTGCGGAGCACAGGCTCCGGACGCGCAGGCTCAGCGGCCATGGCTCACGGGCCCAGCCGCTCCGCGGCATGTGGGATCTTTCCGGAACGTGGCACGAACCCGTGTCCCCTGCATCGGCAGGCGGACTCACAACCACTGTGCCACCCGGGAAGCCCTAGATGTTCATTTTAACACTACTGTTTTCTCATTTCTTACCTTGTGATAAAAACTGGGGATACAAAGATTTTTAAAAATCACTCTTCTCATTTCGGAGCTCATGCTCCTGTAGGAGAGACAGACGTATACTTTAATGTTACAGTAGCTGTTATAACAGGCACCAAGAAAACACTAGATACCGCATGGTAAAAGAGGTAAAAATCAGTTCCAAAGGAGGACAAGAATCAAATGAATGCTTTTAATGCTCTCACCACGTTTTGAGTCACATCTTCTCCCACGAGGAAGGAGTATGGAGTATTCCGACTCCACCTCAGATGAAGAGAGGGGAATTTAAAGAGACCACTAAGAATTTGAGACAAGAACCTTGCAGTTTTAGGGATGAGTACAGAGGGGAAAATTGAAATGGTAAGAGTTACACCTCAACTCCCTGAGTTTTCAAGGCCATCAGTGGATCAGCTATCTACTACATCATGGGATAAAGCCAATATAGGGCCACCTTAATTAATGAAGTATGTATTTTATATCCCTTACCTTAGGAGAATGTGGAATAAAAATATGATTGATGTTTTATAGCCAAGTTATTATTACTTTTTTTTTTTGCGGTACACGGGCTTCTCACTGCTGTGGTCTCTCCCGCCGTGGAGCACAGGCTCCGGACGCGCAGGCCCAGCAGCCACAGCTCATGGGCCCAACCGCTCCGCGGCACGTGGGATCCTCCTGGACCGGAACACGAACCCGTGTCCCCTGCATCGGCAGGTGGACTCCCAACCACTGCACCACCAGGGAAGCCCCAAGTTATTTTTACTTTAGATGAAACATGGTGCTTCTATGCCTTTGCCTGACCTCTAATTGCTGATGCCTTTCTCTTTTACTTCACACATTGTCTCTTAGGTATTTTACTCTCTCATAGTTTCAGCTACCTACTGTGGGGTGATAGCGTTTAAGTTTTATATAAATATACTTTGGATTTATGTCTAATCACATATGTGACCTTTTCAACTCGCTATGTCATAGGTACCTCAGATGTCCAGATAAACTGTGACTAATCATTTTTTAAACCACCCTTCAGTATGCTCTTCCTTTTGTGTTAATTGTGTCATCTGAAGTAGATGACACAATTATCCACTCAGTTGCTACCAAATCTAGAAAGGGAGTCACCCTAGGTACTTCAGTTATACCCTCACCCCTCATGTCCTATAAATTACTACATAGTGTTAAGTTTACCATCATTCCTTCCTCTTTATTGTCATTACAACTAGCATAGTTCAGACTTTCCATCACTTGCTTAGACTCTCAACAACTTGCCTGCCTCCACTCCTGTCCTATTAATTTTTTATCTTCAATAAAATATTCAGAAAGTTTTTTTTTAAAAACAAAAATCTGAATATATAACTCCCTTGATTAAAAATCCATCAGCATCTTGTTAAAATCTAAGCTTTGAAATGTAGTAAATAATTGGTTCCTTGAATTTTCTTTTGCATATACTCTGGACATATCTGTTGCCCTCTGCCTTTGACTTAATGCTCATGAAATACATGAACTGTCTGCAGTTTCCACTTACATCATGCTAGATCTCCCTTCTTTGTCCCTGTTCTCATGCTAGTTTCTCTGCCTGGAATGCCCTCTCCACTGCTACTCATATCTTAAGATTAAACATAGCCATTAATACTGTGAAGCTTTCACTGACTGCCACATATAGGGTGGTAAAACTTACTCTGGATATTTTTATCTTGCATTGTACTATCACAATATTTGTAATATTGATTTGTTTGGGTCCCCTGCTGAATTGTTAGTTTTGAATCTCCAGTGCATAACAAAGTAATTGGTATATTGGAAGTATTGGATGAATGAATGATTGAAGAAATGTCTGCTAATCCCGCTTAATAGTTTATGCTGTGCATGTACACATTCTGTGAAGGGGCAGGCAGATGCTATTTGAAGTTGTAGGCCACAGAGCCAGTCTAGATGGTTGATCAGATTGAATATGCTAGTTGAATGATGGAAGTGATATTTGAAGAATTATAATTTTGAAATTACTTGTGATGTGGTGAAAAAAAGATGAGTTAAGAAAAACAGCTAGGAGATTTTGGCAGTTGCCCGAGATGATTATATTTAAAGTGGGAGTAGAAAAGGAAATGAGTAGGTTTGAAAGATACCATCAAGAAAAAATAAGCCAGGAAAATCA